GGGCCCCGTCCCCACGAACTCCGTCTGCCCCGGGGCCCCGTCCCCACTGTTTTCTGTCCTCCTCACACCCGTGCTCTAACCCTTACCCCATGTGGATCCCCCGTCTGTAGCTGATGCTCCTCCCTAGACATAGTCTGTCCATCGAGCACTGGCCAGTCTGTCTGCCCCCATCAGGTGTCAGCATCATCCGCACTTCTGTCCTTGAGATTTGCTCCCACCCCTGAGCGCCCGAGGCATCCCTGCCGCCGGCCCTGCCCTGGCTTCCTGGGGTGGCTGGTCTTGGGTCTGGCCTGCCGGGGGCGGGGGGATTTGGGACCACACCCACGCACCACTAGACTGTAAGCTCCCAAGAGCAGGGACCTCGGCTGGCATCTGACGTCACGGCTCAATCGCAAAGACGACCCTTATGTGGTTTTAAAAATAAACAAGAGAACGAATGAAAAAACTAGAACTCGGTGTGTCTGGTTTTCAGTTTGGTGTTTCTCCTCGCCGCGCCCTCAGCAGGCCCACCCAGGCATGAGCAGTACGGAGACCTGTGCGCTTAGCGCCTGCGCATCTGCGTCTCGGCTTAGAGGGTACCCCCCGGTACTGCGCCAGGCTGAGCCTCCCACCTGAACACCGGATTGTCAGCTCAGAGTCAAAAGACACGTGCCGTGTGGACGGTAGCTTTGCAGGGACAGTTGGTTAGAAAGCATCCGGCGGGTTCTGAGCTGTTTGTGGTACACTCCTTCTTGGAGGCCTTGTTTGTGAGGTGCTGCTGTGCTCACCTGGGTGGTGGGTCCCTTCACAGGTGTGCTCGCGTCTGGCTCGGGTCCGTCCTGCGTTTTCCAACAGCAGGTTCTTTTCAAGGTTATTAAACGTGCTGTTGATACATGCAAGGCCTTGGAAGTAAATCCACTTAAACCCTACCCGTAAAGTTCATTTTCATGTACAAATATGTAAAATCAAGTGCCCTTTTAGGTTTTCCATCAAAATTAGCTGCGGGTGCAGATGACGGTGGGGACCACCTCTCCTCGCGGTGGGAGACACACTGTGGGTCCTCAGGTATGACGCCACGAGGCAGTGCCCCAGGAGGCCACCCTCACACAGAAAGGTGGGGCCGTCGCTGCCCGCACGTGGCCCCTGGGAGTGCAGGCATTGGAAGCGAGAGGATCAGAGTGTTTGTTGTTTGGGGGCACGTGGGGGGCACCCCTGTGTCACCCTCTAGTCACCTTCCCCACTTCTGGTCACAGCAGGCAAACTGATGCCCACCTTGCCCTCTGCCCACACCATCCGCCGTCTGAGGGGCCCCCCGTTTCAGTGTAATTGTCAACGGTCGGCCTGGACGAGGCCCATGAGGCCGAGCATGGAGGGCCCACAGGCTCCAGTTGGCCTGTCTTCGGCTGCTGGTGTGTAGGGGGCCCAGGACACTTGGGCTCCCTCACTGCTCTCAGGGCTTGGCTCAGTGTTTGATGGGGGACGTGTTTCCGGCTGAATGAGAGGTGGAACAGAGTCACTGCCCGCCCAGCATCCCGGGGCAGCAGCTGAAGGCAGCAGTGAAAACCTTTGGTGTGACTCCAGAAGACGCTGCAAGGTGCACGCCGGGAGCCAGATGGGTTTTCTTGTCGCTTGTCTGTCACTGTTTTTGTTTGTGCCTAAACGCAGTCTTCTGCAAGGAGAACGTCCTGACTCCGGTTGGGCTGCGTGGGCTGTGGGCGCCCGGGTGCCGACCTGGAGACAGACTCTGCCCACAGCAGGAACGGTCCACAGCCGTCCCAGCTCCCCGGCTTGAGGGAGGGTGGAGCAGAACCGGACCTGTGGGCGGTGGCTCCTGGGCTCAGGGGGCAGAGTGTCGGTCAGCTGTGGCTCCGTGGGCTCACATTGCCGATGGCCGCCCGGTGCCTGGCACCAGCAGCAGGGACAGGAGCTCAGACGGGAAGGAACATGATAGTCCAAGTAGGGCCTCACAGTTAGGTTGCAAAGTCTGTCTCAAGATGAGAAAATAAATCATGACACATGACCGAGTCTTGGAGAGTACATCTTTGTGTCTGTTCTCCCTTGGCTTCCCAGAAGGGCCTTTATGCTGACAGCTGAGCAGGGGAGGGTCCTGGGGTGTCCCCAGGATCAGGCAGGGATGGCTCTGGGGACACAGCTTTGTTGGGGGCCTGCCCGACCTTCGTGGACGGGACACACAGTCCTCAGTGTGGGGCACTTCCTCTCACAAACCCTCTCGGGACTGTGGGAGGGAAGGAACCACCTCCACCCACCGGGAGGGAGGGAAGGTGCTCCGTGGTGGGGCCACACCTGGTGGGGATGGGCTCTGTGGGCCCAACGTGAGCGAGCTGGAGGAGTGGAGCTTTGTGCTTCCCTGCTCACTGCCGCACAAACGTGCGCTTACATTCATGGCCCTCGTGAGACAGGGAGCTGACAGAAGACACACAGACCTCAAGAGGTGGAAAGACGGGTAGATTGTCTGTTTTCTGTTTGCTCCATTTAGTCCAAAAACAAGAGTATCCCCAGTGCCGAGGTGTCGGGCCTGGCTGCCAGCACCGGGTTCCCTGAGCAGCAGACCCCAGAGCCAGGGCTGCCGGCAGGAAGAGCCAGCCCAGAGCAGCCTGCGGGCCGACGGCCAGGCCAGTCCTCCCTCCTGCTCTGTGCACGCATCCAGCTCTCGAGGGGCGGCCGGGTGTGCGGTGGAATCCTGCCCGTCGTTCCAGGGGCCTCGTCTTCACAGCAAGCTCTGCCTGTTCTCTTGAGCTTCAGGCCTCATTGCTTTTCCGAGACCTTTGCATTAAAGTTTCCTCCCAAAGTGATGACCTCCATGAAATCAGTACAGATGCTGAGTAGTGAGGCTGTCGGGGGAGGCTTCGGGAAACCACACGGCACACCTGCCCGGGCTGGGTGGGAGGGCGCCCTCGGACAGGCTCCTCCGGGCCAGGCCTCACCGGGTGCCCGCTCCTGTGGATGAGCAAGCAAGCTTGGTCCCGTGCAGAGCTCAGAGGCCATGGTTTCTAGGACACCGTGTTCCATGCTGCGCCCTGTATTTCTCCTGAAGAGGGCCGTGAGGCACGTGAGCACATGGTCCTCGATGCAAGGCCCTGCCTTGTGAGCGTTCTCGCCCTGCCTGACAGGAGCTATGGAGGTGCCATCTGGGGAGCCACATGGGGTCCACAGCGGGGTCCCCAGGCTGAGACCCGCCCCCGAGCCCCCTGTGCGGGGTGCTGGAGCTTTACCTGTCCCAGAAGATCTGCAGGTTTCGAATAAAGCAGATTAT